GTCTGTTCCATCTTCTTTGCACTTCAGAATCTTGGTCCACAATGGCTGCATTTTAGGGGACAGAAGTAATTAAAAACACCTAAGAAAGCACTTCTGCATGTTCATATCAAATACTAATGTATTAATGAGATATGTGAAAATACCCAAGGCTACTCTTCTGCCACACAGCAGAGTTGGATATGCTGCATCTCTATGTTCCAAGCCCCATCTCATCCTTGCTTTATGTTACAGGATTCTCTTTCTCTCCATCGGTCTTTCTGATAAAACCTTCTCCTAGATATTAGTCTGCATTGAATGTAAATGTAAAGTGAAGAATTAGTCACTGGACTAAGGGCTGAGGGGAAGAACAAAGGCTCAGCTGTTCTCTCTGTAAAGCCCTGAATCATGGACCTGTCCTGGGTTAAGTAAAGGAAGACCACACACCTGTATTCCTCTAGGTTCAGTTTTTCACACTCCTCAGATGATACTCACTAGCTTCTTCCTGATATTTATTCCTTTTGGCATAGCACCAAGAATGAACTAAGATGAGGAGGACAATCATCATGAAGGCCAACAGTCTTATCAGAATATACAGGAGCTTGTGATTATCTGATGGAAAATATGAATACAATAAGACACAAATCTTAGGATCTCTGTAATAGATTGCCTTACATCTATTGGTTGATAGATAGTGAATGTAATTTTTCATTAGGGCAGGAGTTTTAATGGGGAACTTACTACTATTATTCTGCTGAATCAACATAGTACTACACTGACTCTTGATGACTTTTCATCAACCCATGGTTTTGACCCATGCATTAATGCTTTTCTTAACCTCCAGCAGGGAAGCTTATATTTGCAACCCATGGTGATCAATACAGATATCCATAATTAGAAAATGTCCAGAAAACAAGAGATTATGGAATGCTTGTATCTAAATAGGACATTTATATCACATCCACCTCTCTACAGGCTCATTGTTCTTTGTGAAAATAATGGACCAAAAATGGCTGAATGACGTTGATGATAACTACAAAGAAATAGGGCCTCCTGGACACAAGAGGGCGGTTCCATATATGAACTCACAGGAACTCGTGACAGCATTCACAAGATCAGTACAAGCTGAAGCCAGACCAAATTCCAGCATGAATGGGGTAGAGGTGGACAACATGAAGTACAACCCTAGCCAAGAATCTGTAGGCAAATGAAAGCTGCTGGGAGATGGAGAGTCAGTTTCAAAAATGTTACTAGTAACTTGACCATAGTCCAGTGGGAGGTCACACATCCATGAATATATGTGCATCACAAATTGAAGTTCATCGATAAAAAAGACAACACAGAGTTTGGTGGATAGGTCCAGGAGGAGTTGGGGGAGGGGTGAATGTCATCAAAGCACATTGTATGAAATTGCCAAAGAACTAATACAAGTAAAATATTAAAGATAAGTATCCTGATGGCATATTGCATATGCTTGTGTTCTATACTTTCTCATATAATTCTCAGAATAAATTTAATATGTGCTATACATGTTAGGAATGAAGGTAAGGAGGACCCTTCAAGAATACCCTGGGCTCTGTTACTGTTTGCAGTGTAAAACGCCTTATGATTTAGCTAGAATTTTCTATGGCTTCAGAGTATAAAATCCAGGATATGCAGTCCTTAACATTCCATGAAGCACAGTGCAGGGGGAAGGTACTAATGCACTTTCTTTGCCAATCTGCAGCTTTCCTGAAACTTGTCACACTAGATAACCCCGAAAGCCCAATTTTTTATCTCTTACAGCTTCTTTTTCATGTGACTTGTACATGAGTGCTCCATCTCATCCATCTTATGCCACTGACAGAAAATGCCAGGACACAATGTACAGCTTATGTGTTCAGTGTCTGAATCTGAGATTCGTGTCAGTGCTCAGTTAATAAACTTTGCAACTTTTACACCTACAATACCACTGAACCAAACATTAACTTCTTCAAAAAGGAAAAATGAAGTCAAGGCCATTTTATCACAGATAGTGTCCTTGTAATATGTTCCCTTCTCCTTCCTTCCTTCCTTCCTTCCTTCCTTCCTTCCTTCCTTCCTTCCTTCCTTCCTTCCTTCCTTCCTTCCTTCCTTATTCGGGTCTGATCACCTCCTCTCCAACGTGAACAGAGCTAGAGTGAGCAATTTGTTGTTATTTGGAAGGGAGCAAAATTTCCACCCCTGTTCACTTGTAGGGGGTCACAGGTGCAGAAATTAGAGACGGTTAGTCCATAAAGGTCCCACACTGCCCCTAAATATCTTGTCATGTAGAATTTGAGAATCAGAGAAGCAATGACAAAGCTAAGACTACAGAGCTGTGTGATGGACAGACGAGACAACATGTGAACCTAAGAGATTTTGGTGCCTAAGCTTCTACAATAGAGAAGAGGAATCATTTACTCACTAGTTTTGGAGTCTGGTTCTGTAGAAGAAGGGCAGTTTCTGGATGAGTTTGCTAAAGAATGGTAATAGGAGAGAGAGATAAGTCAGTGATGCTCTCTGTCTTTTATGGAAACTTCTTTGAAGTTGGCCAGTGACCAGCACTCACTTTACCCATGATTTCTGAGCCTTATGGGTTATAGGATGCCTTTATGTAGTTTGATTAGAGGGTATTACTCTGTCCTTGGATTTCAAGTTGTGATGACTCAATAGGAGTACTGTGGAGATATCTATATGTGTGAGAGATTAGAAGGGCTGCTCCATCTCTGACCTGGCCAAACCGGTCCAAATTCATCCCTTATGAGTCTGTCTTGACCCCTCTTTATACCTGCATGGATACACAGATGTCTCAGTGGGTCTGGCCAAACAGAATAAAGATTATATGGGAATTTCTCTTTCTGTCATTTTGTAATCTGATATTTTTTTTTTATCAAACATGAATTCTCTTTTTAAAAGTTTTTAATTAGGTATAATTATATTCCTTTCCCTCTTGCTTTCAAATCTATAGCCCCACACAGGTACTGTTCCTTCAAGTTTTCCCACGCCTCCACCATCCTTAAATTGATATCTTCTTTTTCTTTGATTATTGATGTTATATGTGTGTATATATTGATACACACACACACAAGCTTACTGAGTCCTTTTTTGGAATATATATATACACATATATATACATACACCATAGCATACACATATGTATGTGTTTTATGTATGTATATATATATATATATATATATATATATATATATGTTTATATATATTTATATGTTCAAAACGTCTCCCAGAACTCCTTCATACTTTCTTATGAAAATTTCTCTCCCTCATCAGGAGAGTGATTCTCAGACATGGTTTCAGTTTTCCTTAGTCACAAGACTTGAGATATATATGAGAATTTCTTACCTGTGACAGGAAGACACATGGGGTCACTTGGGGATGACCATGCATGTGAAGAGTTTTTGAAAGAGCCATAGCATCTATAGGTCCTTCCCTGGACCACAAGTCCAAGAAGGAAGTTGGACTGGAATGTCCCATTGTGGCTCTGCACTGCAGGCAGCCCCTGCCCCAGAGTCACCCCTTCTCTGGTCAGATGGAACATGTCAAAGTGAATGTCAGAGACACAGGACAAAGTCATGTTCTCTCCTGACATCACCACAGGGTCTATAAGGGCTGACAGAGAAGGTTTCTTGTATAAACCTGGAAGAAAGGAGGCAGAGACATTTAGAGGGGCTGCTCCTTACCAGTGTTTATTTTCTCCTCATTTCTCTCTCCTACTTCTTGGTTTGTGATCTCTCTCTTTCTTTGTTTCTCTGTCTCCCTCTGTCTCTCTCTGTTTCTCTCACTCTCTCTGTCCCATCTTTATCTCTCCTTTATTCTATTTTCTGATCTTTTCCCCTCTCCATCTTACCTTCTACTATATTTTGCCAGTGTCTGCCTCTATATGCATTGGTTCATACCATCTGTGTTTGTAAGTTTGTTTTCATTAACAAATGTTAATTTCATATAGCTATTAATTTCTTATGACATTTTCTTGTATATATAATGTATTGGTGTATTTGTTTTCATTAAAAACTTGAAATTAAAATATATTAAATGATTTCATGGATTCTTTTTAAGTCCTATTCCATATATATTTCTATATGTAATGTTGATCATATTTGTGCTGTTATTCTCTTTTGTCCATGAACTTCCCCTGATTCCATTTCTTTTCCAATTGTTCTATTTTGTCCTTTCAGTTTTTTCAAATGTTTTGTCATCAATTCTTTTAATTAGAGGCACTTGTTATTTTGTTTTAAATAGAATGCAACGTAATGGACTTCACTAAGTCTTCCTCAGACAGTTCTTCCTGGTTCCCTCACCTGTACCACCTTAGCTGGTCCTTTACCCCATTTCCTCTTCCATGGCATATGTATTCCACCTTTTTCCAGAGGACAGCCTTGTAGCATTTTTTCAGCCACCCTAGAATGTCTGAATAATTGGAACATGGACAGAAAACAGTTTGGAGATGTAGAAAACAAACAGCGATTGGTGGCCTATTGAATTTCCTAAGGCAAAGCTATTCTAGGATGAATAATCAGTCAACCCCAAGAAAGGAAGAATGTTAATCAACACAGAAATTCTATGTCTGTCATCTGCACCAAGGTCTCAGGACTCATGAAGAACCAGACCTAACCAACTCATAAACTCAGGTCAGACACATGATATGTCTAGGTCTTCCGACAGATGTCTTATGGAGGTAGAAGTAAAACAAATTTCTGAACTATTAAGGCCTTTAAACATTAGTAGAAAGACATCATTGTCTCTGACTCATATGAAGCTCACCAAGTTGTCCCTTTCACTTTACCTCTAGTTATGACTTCTTTGACCTCTCTGTATCTGTGCTAGATGATATAACAAATGGTCTGTTCTTGTGTCTCCATTTTAATTGTTTATGTCAGTAATATACTCACTGAGACTGCCTTTCTCTACATTTCCCATACTCATCTTCCTCATGACCCCCAAGAACTTCCAATCGATAGAATAACTGCTCTGTATCACACAGAGCTGATGAGCAGGTAATACCCTCTTACCTGTGATCTTTATGTCAACAGGGTCACTGGATTTGGACCACTCATATGGTGTGCGATTGTAAGAACCATAGCATGTGTAAGTCCCAGCATGGTCAGGTGTCACAGGACCTATTGAGAAGTTGCCATGGGATCCCCCAAGATGAGATTCTGCAGAAAGCTTAAAAGAAGTCTTTATTATTTTCTTTCTATGTGAAGTCAAAATGAAGGTTTCAAACATAATCTCTGAATGACACTCCAGGGTCACCTTCTCTCCTGCTTTTACCAGGGAAGTTGGTAGGGCCAACAAGAAAGGCTTCCTGTAGATTCCTAGGAATAAGGATATTGTGAGTATGAACCTGATGCCAGTCTACGTATCAAAAAAAATCTATGTTTTTCCCCCCTTAACCTGTTCTTCCTGTCAGTGTCCCAGTGTCCTGTCTCTGTTTATGTCAGCTTTGTACACAGACTTCTCCATCATTCTCTGGACACTTTCCAATTCTGTGACTCTAGTACCAGCACAATATTTCCCCAATGGCTTGCTGTGGAATGTATCTGCAGATACTGTCTACCACAGTTCCTGTGTCATGCTCCATCATGAGACCTTTTAATACTACTTTGAACGAAGTATACTAAATGGCAAGAAAAGGGAAATTGTAGTGAAGGTAGGTATTAGGACAACTCTTCTGGCCTTCTCTATGGTTCAAAGTTCAAAAGGTATTCCAGATCTGGCATCATGAGCATTGTTTCCTCCAACATCTAGATGCATTATGAATCGGGTTTTATTGCTCTCTGCATATCCCTGCCCAGTTCTTAATTTTCCCTTGATGTGGATTCCTGTATCCATTTCCAGTCACTACCATAACAGATGATATTCTTAAAAAGAGCACATGTGTTGTGAAGATCAGAATTCTGAAATAAGCCCAAACAGAATAAATCAGTTTTCTAGAGGGATATGTTCCTGTTGGTATCAGTAGGGAAGCATCCATTACTTTTTCCCTTCCAGCTTCTAAGGTCTCAAGCATCCTTAGCACTTGGACCTGTCCTCCACTGTCAGAAGTAGCAGTAGGGCATCTCCCTCATGACACTTTGTTCTGCCCACAACTGCCTTTTCCTTATTTGGTATATGAGCCATTGTGGTTGTACAGAGTCAGGATAATTCAGGACATTCTCCCATCCTGCTGTCAACTTGTTAATGTCTGAATTCCATCTTCAAGCCCAATTTATCTGTGACACAACACTCCTTAACACTGCCGTAACACTCATGAAGGCTTAGGCACAAGAAAGTGCATGTTCTTGGGTATATGTTGTGTCCACCATAGGACCCATTTCTATGTGTTGAAAATTCCTTTATAATGCTGAGACTCTGACTAAAACTTGAAAATTCAAGCATGCGGAACTCTGGGGGGATGAAATTACACTCCAATTATGATCTCTGACCTGAAATTATGATCTCCAAGGGGTCACTGTGTGATGACAGTTCATTAGGGTACTGATGATTGTAATTATAGCATCTGTAGGTTCCTCCAAATTCCGTTGTCACGGGACCCAAGAGAAGGGTTTTGTAGAATATTCTGTCATGGAACTGAGGGATAGGAGGTCCAAGTTCTTTGTATAGCTTGAACATGGAAGACTCCTTATGATAGTCACATTTAAGATCCACATACTGTCCCAGTGTAACAACATGGCTTGGCCAAGCAGACAGTGAAGGCTTGTCATGAATTCCTGCAGAAAGATACACAGAAAAAATTTAATGATTACCCTTTATTCCTGAGTGCTGAGTGTCAATGTTCACTTCTTCGGGGTCATTTATACAACCATTTTCTCTGAACTGAAGCATCCGTGTTTCAATGTGAGAGGTTGAAATGATCAGGGGATACAGGAGGTAAACAAACATCATATATATTGGAAAGCTGAAACTTGCAAGATTCATCAGCTTTTCCCAGTTCTGTAGAAACAGTAAGCTATAGGACTTGCTGAATTCTAAGTGGAGGTATTTAACACCTGTTTATCTCACTGCAAGTTGTGCAGAGAGCTCCCTGGTTTTGGCTTTCTTGATAATCACCTACATTGAGGTGTGCTTTCAGTAATGCTTTTGAGTCAACCTTTGCTTCTGCTAATAACCCCTCATCCATACTTCTATCAGTAATCTCATTTAATGCATAAATTCACCTATTTAAACTTTGATGCAATCAGCTTGGTCTGTCATGGGCTTCATTTATGGGGTGAGCAGATTTTCATGTGTTGTATGTTACCAAGGATAGTCTCAAACACAATAGGGTCATTTTCATGTAACGAGTGTCCCCAACTACCACATATCTATGGTTTATCTTTCTATGCTAAGATATGTCAACTGAGAATCTAGAGTAAGTGTTAAATAACAAAGTAGATCTGGTCATGAAAAGTTGTAACTTAAAAATAAATTACATCAGATGCTAGAGTAAAAAGATTCATTTGTAAGATAACAGATGGGAATTGTGGTCACTAAGACAGCAGAAAAGGAATGCTCTTGATTCATCCTCACTGACTCTAGAAGTCTAACAATACTAAGATTAGAATTACATTGTGATTATTCCAGACCTCAGGGGTGAGGATGAGCTGTCCCATATGACCACAGAATTGAAAAAATCTACAATAAAACAGAGGAAAACAGCCTTTGAACTACTCTGCCCCTTCTGTACTCTTGTACAGAGCTTCATTCACAGAGGTCAAACTGGTTCACGTTTTCACACCAAGAGTGATAAGTTAGAGGCAGACATACAGTTTCTCCAACATTTAAGACCTCTTGCACATATATGGAACATTGACAGTCTAGCATTGCTCTTCCACTTGGGCCACTTGCTTGCTCATTTTCCTACACTGAAAGTGATAAGTTAGAGGCAGACATATAGTTTCTCCACCATTTCCAGACTCCTTGCATGTGGAACATTGAGAGTATACAATTGGTCTGTCACTTGGATCACATGGTGATGAAAAGGGTTTGGACTCACGATTGACAGCCCATGAATCTTGGTCTATGTTTTGTATTCACATAGTGGATGTTCCTAATGAAAGAGACAATAACAAAACACTACAGTAAAGACAATATGGACTCCAGACAGTGAGGGCATCTTGCAACACTGTCCTGGCAGAGGCGATTATGGACCCAGTGAGAAACTGTCTCTGATTGTGGAGTGTGGTCAGTGATCTTACTGAACCAGAAGCCCAGGTGACAACAATATCTGATCTCAAAACAGAAGATGCAAATTAGTCAAACAACAGAAATTGACATCAAGGTCATCCAGTTCAGAATTGCAATCAATTTGTCCAACTTCTTTTTCAGGCTACACTAAATAGTAAAGGTCTATTTACAACCAAAGAACTTCTGCATGTGCAGAGGAGGTGATTCTCTTCACTATGCAGGTGTGTTTGTGTCAGAACTTAAGCATGGAAATCCGAGAAGTCAAACCTGACAGAGAACAATGGTGAGACGTTGGAAGTAAACACAGAGGAAAGGAAGGCCTATGAAGCCCACAATAAATAATTCACAGTAGTATTTTTAATGAAGTGATAGAATTATAAGAAACTATGAATAAATATTTGGAGCTATGATCCCCAATGAGAGAATAAGTGGCACTTTTTTTCTGGGTCGAGGTTATCTCAGCTAAATATTTTATAGTTCCATTTATTTTTCTGAAAATTTCATGGTTTCATTGTTATTCGACAATATATCTGTGACACATTTTTATCATCCATTCATCAGCTGAAAGACATTCAGGTTGTTTCCTTGTCCTAGCTATTGAAAATAGAGCAGCAAAGAACATGACATGGAAAGCATCCATGGCATAAGATGTCAAGTTCTTTTGATATATTCCAATGGCTAGGAATGATGCAAATATAGTACTCATTTATGAAAGTCTCAAGAAATTAAATTTAAATGGCAAAATCTTTTTATAAACTAAAAAGACATGATATAACTTAAAAAGGAACCGTCTAGAATATTTTATAAAATTTGGAAGTTAATCATTCAATGATAAATATTTTGGCAACATCCCTCTTAAGTCAAGAACACAACTACTGAGTTGGAAAAACCATGTGGGTCATCTTGATGTCTAAATAGGAAAAGGGTCTTACTGCCATATCTGACTCTCTGCATTTGATTGCTGTGACTCTCATGATGAAATTCAGAAGGTTGTCCTCTGACTTCCACACTTGTGGCATAGTATAATAAATAAATAAATAAATGCAAAAATTTAAAAAGTTAATAGAATGTTTCAATAGTATATTGATACAATAGGAGAATGAGTGTGCTTATGTCAAGCATTATGTAATCTAATGAGTAAATACAAAAACTGAATTAAAATTCAATGAAGAAGAATGACAAGATTTTTTAAATATCATTCCAATACCAAATTACCAGTCATAAAAATTCAAGAAAAGGTAAAGGAATATAGAGGTTTTCTTGGGTATAGGGGGGTTAGAACTAGGATGAATCTAGGCAGGGGGTGAATATAATTAATACATTGTGTGAAATTCAATAAAATATTAACAAAAAGACAGAAATGAGAGAGCTAATAAAAATAAAGAGAAAAAATCATAGAGAAAAGTTTAGTACATTGTTGAAACTTGGAATAAAATGAACATGGTCAAGTCCAAGAAGTTCAAGAGACACAAAAGAAATCCAACCCAAATAATCACAATCACAGAGCACATTATTATCACAAGAGATCCTGAAATCAGAATGATAAATGAAGCAAAGAACACACGACTAATGGTATACAACTTTCAACACACCTAATGGTATACAACTGAGCAAAGATTTCTGGGCCCAAGTGACCAGGATGATTTATTCGATGAGGTGAGTAGAAAAAAGAAAAACCTGCCTACAAATGTCAGCAACTCTGTGCTTTAGAAATAGACATAATGAATTTATCAGAAAAAGATTAGGAGATAGAGTTCATCACCACAAGCACAGGAAATTCTGTGGAGTTCTTCAAACTAAATGTAAAGGCTGCTAATGAGTTGCATGAAAACATCTTCATGTGGAAAAAGTAAAATATTCTCACTGAAAGCAAGTCAAACTAAGAAGCTGCAATAGTGTGCCAGTGGTGCACAGATTCTATCTGTAGCATAGATGTGTGTAGATAAAAATAACAACTTCAATGGTTGTCAAGTGACTCACATATTTAAAAAGTCATAAATTATTACACCAAATTTCAAAATATGTGGAGGTGGTCATTTTAGAACATGGCAAGGGGGAAGATTATTTTAATTAAAAATATTGATTATCTGCCAAGTGTAATGGCTCACTGTTTTAATCATAGCAGTTGAGTGGCACAGGCAGGCAAATACCTGAGTTCATGGGCAGCCTAGTGTAAAAAGTGACTTCTTGTATAGTTAGAGTTATAGAGAAAACCTGTCTTGAAAAACCAAAAAAATTTAATTGATCAAAGCTGATGCCTGACTCTGCCAGGGACAGTGCCAGAGAGTATCTGGGAGAGACCTGAGAGACTGGTTCCTTGGATCCTAACTCAGAAGTTCAGAAGACTCACCAAGGAGTCACTCACAGAAGCCACCAGTCAACACCCTGTGACATGTGCTCTCATGTTAGAATGAAACCTATGTATTGGGATGGGTAGTATCTCAAAGTTTTAAGGATGGACCCACCTGCTTCTGTCAATGTCCTCAGGATTAGGAAGAAGCCTGCAAAGAAAAAGTCATGCTGGATGATCCATCTCCTTCCAATAGCATAGCCATATGACCCTCCCCTTTCCTGTTGGGCCTCTGTAGAGTAGAATCGTAGTTCACTTAGTTAAGATGAACTCAGGAACCGAAATCCACCATGGAAGTCAGTGTTTCTGCAGAGGATGGATCCAGCTTCCCAGAACGGCATTTCCACTCTGGTATTCAACACCCTTCATTCCCCGGAGAACTCACCAGTACACACAAGGTTTGGGAGTGGAGACAGCATGGTGTTGCTTCAGCTGACAAGAGGTAGAGCCAGAATAAAACTTACAGGATGTTGTGAGAGGCTCAAAGCATCTACCTGACCACAGCACGGAAAGCTGACCAACAGAGCACATCCGCTGTCACTCCCACGTTTATTGAATTTTTTTCCACATAGAGTTTCTCTGTAGCCCTGTTTATCCTGGAACTCACTTTGTAGACCAGGCTGGCTTTAAAATCAAAGTGCGCCTTAGAGTGCATCCCATGTGCCTGGATTAAAGGTGCATGTTGCCTTACGAGGCTTTGCAAATGCTCCCCCTTTACCATGGCCTTGGAGGCCCACAGCTTCTTGGAATTCTTCAGAGTTCAGCTCTTCAGCCACAGCATTCACCATGACTACAACTGAGTTGCATCCTGGACCCACCGCTTTTTATTTCAAATAATCAAATTTGATTATGGTACTAAAGGTTTACATGCTGTAGCTTTTTACATCTGAGACTCAATGTTTCCTCTGGTTTTCTGTGCATCATATTGAATGAATACTATTCATATTATAACAGCAATCCTAATGTGTCACTCAAAATAACCATCCTTGTAGTAATCCAATGTTAGGTTATAATTATTCAATTTTTTACTTGATTGTGTAGATTTTTAGAATAATAAAATTCCACTTATTTTCAAAAATCAAAGAAATAAAGCAAGTATATTTTTGTTTTAACTGAAAATTTTAAAGATGTAGCATTCATATTCTTTTAAAAAATTCATTTTAAATTATGCAAATATATACATGTGTGTGTGAGTATGTGCATGTGAGTGCTGGTGCCTGGAAGGCCCAAACTGGGCATTGATAGGATCCCCTGCAGCTGGAGTCTCACAGTTGTGAGCCTCGGGTGTAGGCATTGGCATCTAATACTGGGTCATCTGCAAGTGCAGAGCACACTCTTTACCTCTGTGTGATCTCTACAGCCCTGTGCACCCACCATTCTTTACCCAAACACCCAGATACATATTTATTATGCTGTGTTTTTCCACTTCATTTTTTAATGATTGAGATAGAAATTTCTGAGAATGTTTAATTCTACAAGTTTTTTTGCATTTTTATAAACATTATTATTTTATAACCCTAGTTCTTGAGTCTACACCACTAATTCTTTAATTCGGTAGGACATATTAAATACACAATAGTGAACTGAGATAAGAAACATCAATATTCTAATGATGTATTTCTACAAGAATCTGTCAGAGGACAAGAACCTGAAAGACACTGCCAGGAAATGGGATTTTGAATCAAGGCTACACACTCTGGGAATGTACTATGTATATGTAGTATTTAATATCTCCTATATTTTATTGCATTGTTATGTTTTTTATATATTACTCTACATGTTTAAACTTAAAGTTTTTGTTAGTATATGTTTTCAAATAAATTATAATTCTACCATTTCTTTTGCTTTTACTCTTCTCAATCTTTCCTTTATAGCTATTTTGTTCTCTGAAATACATCTTTTTTATTAAGAAATTTTCAGTGACTGATGAAAGCAGATGGAGTGCTCCACGGCCAAGTCCCAGATGGAGCTCCAGGAGTCCAATCGGCAAGAGAGAGGAGGGATGATATGAGCAAGAGATATTAAGACCATGATTGGAAAAAGCACAGGGACAAATAGCCAAACTAGTGGAAACACATGAACTGTGAACCAATAGCTGAGGAGCCCCCATGGAACTGGATCAGGCCCTCTGGATAAGTGAGACAGTTGATGAGCTTGAGCTATTTAGGAGACCCCCAGGCAGTGGAGCCAGGACCTGTCCTTAGTGCATGAGGTGGCTTTTTGGAACCTAGGGCCTATTCTGTGACACTTTGCTCAGCCTTGGTGCAGGGAGGAGGGACTGGACCTACCTCAACTGAATCTACCAGGCTGAGCTGAATCCCCAGGGGAGACCTTGCCTTGGAGGAGGTGGGAATAGGGGGTGAATTTGGAGGGAAATCTGGGGGGTGGGAGGAAGGAGGACAGGGGAATCCATGGCTGATATGTAAAATTAAATTAATTATAAAATAAAAAAGAGTTACAATTACAAAAAAAGAAATTTTCTATTCATTTTACATTTCAACCATAGATACTACTCTCCTCCCTTCTTCTACCACCTAGCCTTCCCCCTTAAAAGACCCCACATTCGCAGCTCCTCCAAGGCAAGGCATCCCATAGGCAGTCAGCAGAGCCTGATACACTCAGTTGAAGCAGGTGCAAGCCCCACTGCACCAAGGCTGTGTAAGGTGTCCCACCACAGGCAGTGGACTCCAAAGGGCAGTTCATGCACCAGGGATAGATCCTAATCCCACTGTCAGGGGGCTTCTTAAGCAGATCAAACTACACAACTGTCTTGCTTTTGCAGAGAGCCTAGTCCAGTCCCATGGAGGCTCCCAGCTCTTGGTCCACAGTTCATGAGTCCCCACTAGTTTGGTTTGGTTGTCTCTGTAAGTTTCCCCATTATGATCTTGATGCCCCTTGCTCATAGCATCCCTCTTCACTCTCTTTGACTGGACTCCAGGAGCTCAGTCTGGTGCTTGGCTGTGGATCTCTGCATCTGCTTCCATCTCTTAATGGATGAAGGCTCTATGATGACAGGGTATTCACCAATCTGATTACCAGTGTAGGCTAGTTGGGGCATCTTCTCTACTATTGTTAGTAGTCCAAGGTGGAGTCATCTTTGCGGATTCTTGGGAACTTCTCTAGTTCCCAGTTTTTCCCTATCCCCATGATGTCTCCCTCTATCATGGTTTCTCTTTCATTGCTCTCCCACTCTGTCCCTGTTTCATCTCGAACTTAAAAACTCAAATACATCTTTACCTTTAATTACCTTTATGTATCTACACACACACACACACACACACACACACACACACACACACACACACACACTTCTAACTATGAAACACACTCTGACTAATCTGTAAAATGCTATTATATGTATATAATTTTAGTGTTGACCACATTCTGAGGAAATGAGATCTCACAGTAAGCCTCTTTTTCCACTGGTTCTCACAATCCTTCCACCATTTCTTACTTGATGTTCCTTCAGCCTTAGTTGTAGGAAATCTGTTGTAGATGGGTCTGCTGGAGGTGTAATCTGTACAATTACATGTTATCTATATTTGTATTTATTTCCATTTTTGGAATAGTGTTTTCTTTTGAGGCTAAACAAAGTTTATTTTGATGTTGGAGTTAGATTTATCAATGGGTGCAAGGGAAAATACTGTGATATTTGGAATGCAATTAGGAATTAACTTGTTTAGTAAAGTGGCAGTTGTAGATTTCTCCAAGGTCAAAGACTTCACTAGCTCTGGGTAGTTGGGTAGATTTCCAGAACCAGGCCATATTTCCTGTATTTGAGCAGAACTTGAGTCCAGTTAGACAGCTGTGATCTGCCACTAAGATATTTGTGCCACTGTTTCACACTTAATGTCACTGTGCTTCATGGTGGTCATGAAGAAGCTAAACACAGTTTCCATCCTTTACCTTTAGAAATGCCGAAACATCAGCAATAGCTTCCTGGTAACGCTTCTTGACCATAAATGGCTCAATGTGTCCACAATGACTAGTTTTAAAAACAATTACTTTGGTATTTGGGAGATGACTCATGGATTGAAACACTGACCATCTATCATCTCTCTCTACCTACCTATGTAGCTATTATTTATCACTTGATCATGTTTACCTGTCATCTTCAATCAATCAACACATCTGCCATTCAATCATTTATGTATTTGTTATATATCAAACTATCTTTCAGTTATCTATTTATCAATTATCTTTCTTTTATAGGTCATCTACTTTTGTCTGTCTGTATATCTTTTCTTTTTTTCTAGCTCTAGCTCTCATATTGGTATGTATATCCATAAGCATTTATATCCAATATAAGCACAGTCTTGAGAGCCACCCTTAAGGTATTTTGTCCCTCAGTGTCTCCTTGCAGTCACCATGAAACCCAGATGATATATCATGGGTTGAATAGAGACAACCAAGTTCCACAGCTCAATACCCAGGTATAGCCACCTTGGTGGAACGCTAAGGAGAGTACAGTATCCTTGGATGCTACTACAATTAGCTAGTCTTGGTGTTAATAGAAGGTCTAGCTTTTGTGGAAGCCCTGTATTACTTGCTAACTTTCATTTCAGGACTCACTGAGAGGCAGGAGTTTGGTGTCCTGTGTGGCCATGATGTTAATATGGCCTCAGCCCAGTTAGCTTCTTGTCTGTGTGTGTTCAAAACAGACAAGATATTTGTGATAGAGTAGAATGCACAGGATGGTGCATTCTGATATCCTGACCACATATTTCTGTATCTGTTAATCCAAAGGCAAAAGAACAGTTCCTTCTTGAAATATTTAGTTTTCAATTGATCTTGGCTGGACTCTTAGGAGAGACAGAAGAGTCCTTCTGTGTGTATTTCTGACATGTAGGAAGGCTTTCCTCAAAGCATGTCTTTCAGTGCTCATATTTCTGATTCTATTTTTACCTTAAATTTCTTTTTGATTTTTTTCTGACAGGATTTATTATGCAGTTCAGTTTACATCCAGTTTATTAAGAACAGATTGACCTTAAACTCAAGTTTCATCTCTTTCAGCCTGCCAAATGCTGGGAATACACGTGTACATCACCATACTTGTATTTAACCACTTTTACTTTTATTTTTCATTGAGACAAGGTTTATTTGACTCACAGTTCCATCATTGTGAGTGAGTCACAGAGATATTCCCTAGAGACAGACAACAGGTCACATTGCATCAACAGTTAAAAAAAAAACAGCAGAGAACAATGAATGCATGCTTGTGCTCAGCTTGTTTTCTTCACTCTTAAACAGCTTGGGATACCCTGCCTAGGGAATTCTGTCATTACCTAAATAGTGGACAGGTCTTCTCACACCAATTAAATTAAATAGGTAAAATTTCCCCCAGATATGCCCATAGTCCAACTCTTTCTGATTTAGAGCAATTCTCTATCAGACTCTGTTTTGAAGTGACTCTAGATTATGGCAAATTGACATTCAAAATAAAAAATAACAATAGAAGAAAAAACAAGATGATACTACCATGTAAAATTGCTTAAAATCTTTAGACCCAAGTCTTACCACTTTATCTAACTATACCAACCAATCATGAGGATATACCAGAGGGACTGTTAGTCATCAGCACACCAAGGACACAGTTGCATATTCATATTTACTGATCCACTAGATCATCACAGCTGCTGGGAGTTCCTTTGCTTCACAGCCATGTCACCAGAGACCAGCCTCTCTCGGCACTCTTCCCTGTCCTCTGGATCTTACATTCTTTTCACTGGGTTCTCTTTTGTGTAGTTCCCTGAGTCCTGGAAGGTATTGATTTATGTTTCAAGATTGC